GCCATGGCCAGCCATGGCATCCGCGCGGGTCGAGTGTGTCTCCCTGGGAGCGCCGAGCGCTAGCTACGTCGTCGGTAACACCCAAACCCCCGCGCCTAAAAGAATTGAAATCCAGACCCGAATCCAAACTACGGTTGACCATAGGGCGCCACGTGAGTAAATCACCGAAACCCGCCTTGAACTGAGCCTTCGGGTCCCCAGGGCAGGAGCTAGCCCATCGCCTCAAGAGGCCCCTGTCCGCAACAATCAATTCGCTCTCATTGTGCCATCTGGCATCTTGTATCTCTTTCTTAATCGGACTTGCAGTCAAAAACATGCTCAAACAGCATAGTCCTACCGCAGCCCACATCCACGAACGCCACGAGCTTGAACGTGACCTTCGAGTGTAATACCAAAGCCACGCGAGGAGCGTGGAGGCAATAACACTCCTCACACAAGGGTTCTCGTACCAGCTGTCATGCAGCTGGCCCGTGGCTGCCTCGTGGAGGCACCCCTGATTGCCACTAGAGAAATGCAGAAGAAGGGGCAAACCGCTGGAAACAGACAGAGAGTTTCAGAAGAAGGAGCAAACCGCTCGAAAGAGACTAGAGAGTTTCAGAAGAAGGAGCAAACCGCTCGAAAGAGACTAGAGAATTTCAGAAGCAGGAGCAAGCCGCTTGAAAAAGACTAATGAACTTCAGAAGAAGGAGCAAACCGCTCGAAAGAGACTAGTGAATAGAGAATTTCAGAAGAAGGAGCAAACCGCTCGAAAGAGACAGAGAGTTTCAGAACAAGGAGCAAACCGCTCGAAGAAGACTGGAGAGTTTCAGAAGAAGGAGCCAACCGTTCGAAGGAGCAAACCGCTCGAAAGCGACCAGAGAATTTCAGAAGAAAGAGCGAACCGCTCGAAAGAGACTAGAGAATTTCAGAAGAAGGTTCAGAAGCAGGAGCAAACCGCTCGAAATAGACTAGAGAATTTCAGAAGAAGGTTCAGAAGAAGGAGCAAACCGCTCGAAAAAGACTAGAGAATTTCAAGAAGAAGGAGCGAACCGCACGAAAGAGACTAGAGAATTTCAGGAAAAAGGAGCAAACTGCTCGAAAGAAACTAGAGATTTACAGAAAAGGGAGAAAGCCGCTCGAAAGAGACTAGAGAATTTCAGCAGAAGGAGCAAGCCGCTCGAAAGAGACTAGAGAGTTTCAGAAGAAGGAGCAAACCGCTCGAAAGAGACTAGAGAATTTCAGAAGAAGGAGCAAACAGCTCAAAAGAGACTAGATAATTTCAGAAGAAGGAGCAAACCGCTGGAAGGAGACTAGAGAATTTCAGAAGAAGGAGCAAACCGCTCGAAAGCGACCAAAGAATTTCAGGAACCGCTCGAAAGAGAATAGAGAATTTCAGAAGAAGGAGCAAACCGCTCGAAAGAGACTACAGAATTTCAGAAGAAGGTTCAAAAGAAGGTGCCAGACGCTTGAAAAAGACTAGAGAATTTCAGAAGAAGGAGCAAACCGCTCGAAAGAGACTTAGAGAATTTCAGAAGACGGGGCAAACCGCTGGAAGGAGACTAGGAAATTTCAGAAGAAGGAGCAAACCGCAGGAAAGAGACTAGAGAGTTTCAGAAGAAGGAGCGAACCGCACGACAGAGACCACAGAATTTCAAGAAGAAGGAGCAAACTGCTCGAAAGAAACTAGAGAGTTTCAGAAGCAGGAGCAAGCCGCTCGAAAGAAGCTAGAGAATTACAGAAGAGGGAGCAAGCCGCTCAAAAGAGACTAGAGAATTTCAGCAGAAGAAGCAAGCCGCTCGAAAGAGACTAGAGAATTTCAGAAGAAGGAGCAAACCGCTCGAAGAAGACTAGAGAATTTCAGAACAAGGAGCAAACCGCTCGAAAGAGACGAGAATTTTTCAGAAGAAGGAGCGAACCGCTCGAAAGAGACTAGAGAATTTCAGAAGAAGGAACAAACCGCTCGAAAGAGACTAGAGAGTGTCAGAAGAAGGAGCTAACTGCTCGAAAGAGACTAGAGAGTTTCAGAAGAAGGAGCAAACCGCTCGAAAGAGACTAAAGAATTTCAGAAGCAGGAGCAAACCGCTTGAAACAGACTAATGAACTTCAGAAGAAGGAGCAATCCGCTCGAAAGAGACTAGAGAATTTCAGAAGAGGTAGCAAACCACTCGAAAGAGACCAGAGAAATTCAGAAGAAGGAGACAACCGCTCGATAGAGACTAGAGAATTTCAGAAGAAGGGACAAACCGCTCGAAAGAGATTAGAGAATTTCAGAAGAATGAGCAAACCGCTCGAAAGAGACTGGAGAATTTCAGAAGAAGGAGCAAACCGCTCGAAAGAGACTAGAGAATTTCAGAAGAAGGGACAAACCGCTCGAAAGAAACTAGAGGATGTCAGAAGAAGGAGAAGGAGCAAACCGCTCGGAGAAACCAGAGAATTTCAGAACAAGGAGCAAACCGCTCGAAAGAGACTAGAGAATTTCAGAAGAAGGAGCAAACCGCTGGAAAGAGACTAGAGAATTTCAGAAGAAGGAGTAATCCGCTCAAAAGAAACTAGAGAATTTCAGAAGAAGGAGCAAACCGCTCGAAGGAGACTAGAGAGTTGCAGAAGAAGGAGCAAACCGCTCGAAGGAGACTAGAGAGTTTCAGAAGAAGGAACAACCTGCTCGAAAGAGACCAGAGAATTTCAGAAGAAGGAGCAAACCGCTCGAAGGAGACTAGAGAATTTCAGAAGAAGGAGCAAACCGCTCGAAAGAGACTAGAGAGTTTCAGAACAAGGAGTAAACCGCTTGAGGAAGATTAGAGAACTTCAGAAGAAGGAGCGAACCGCTCGAAAGAGACTAGAGAATTTCAGCAGAAGGAGCAAACCGCTCGAAAGAGACTAGAGAATTTCAGAAGAAGGAGCAAACCGCTCGAAAGAGAATAGAGAATTTCAGAAGAAGGAGCCAGCCGCTCGACAGAGACTAGAGAATTCAGAAGAGGGAGCAAGCCGCTCGAAAGATACTAGAGAGTTTCGGAAGGAGGGACAACCCGCTCGAAAGAGACCAGAGAATTTCAGAAGAAGGAGTAATCCGCTCGAAAGAAACTAGAGAATTTCAGAGGAAGGAGCAAACCGCTCGAAGGAGACTAGAGAGTTTCAGAAGGAGGGGCAAACAGCTGGAAAACAGACTAGAAAATTACAGAAGAAGGAGCAAACTGCTCGAAAGAGAATAGAGAATTTCAGAAGAAGGAGCAAACCGCTCGACAGAGACTAGAGAATTTCAGAAGAGGGAGCAAGCCGCTCGAAAGATACTAGAGAGTTTCGGAAGGAGGGACAACCCGCTCGAAAGAGACTAGAGAATTTCAGAAGAAGGAGTAATCTTCTCGAAAGAAACTAGAGAATTTCAGAAGAAGGAGCAAACCGCTCGAAAGAGACTAGAGAATTTCAGAAGAAGGAGCAAGCTGATCGAAAGAGATTAGAGAATTTCAGCAGAAGGGGCAAGCCGCTCGAAAGAGAGTAGAGAATTTCAGAAGAAGGATCAAACCGCTCGAAAGAGACTAGAGAATTTCAGAAGAAGGAGCAGACCACTCGAAAGAGACTGGAGAATTTCAGAAGAAGGAGCAAGCTGCTCGAAAGAGACTAGAGAATTGCAGAAGAAGGAGCAAGCCGCTCGACAGAGAGTAGAGAATTTCAGAAGAAGAAGCAAACCGCTCGAAAGAAACTGGAGAGTTTCAGAAGAAGGAGCAAACCGCTCGAAAGAGACCAGAGAATTTCAGAAGAAGGAGCAAACCGCTCGAAACAGACTAGAGAATTTCAGAAGAAGGAGCAAACCACTCGAAAGAGAACCGCCCGAAAGAGACCAGAGAATTTCAGAAGAAGGAGCAAACCGCTCGAAGGAGACTAGAGAATTTCAGAAGAAGGAGCAAACCGCTCGCAAGCGACCAGAGAATTTCAGAAGAAGGGGCAAACCGCTCGAAAGAGACTAGAGAAATGCAGAAGAAGGGGCAAACCGCTGGAAACAGACAGACAATTTCAGAACAAGGAGCAAACCGCTCGAAGAAGACTAGAGAATTTCAGAAGAAGGAGCGAACCGCTCGAAAGAGACTAGAGAATTTCAGCAGAAGGAGCAAACCGCTCGAAAGAGACTAGAGAACTTCAGAAGCAGGAGCAAGCCGCTTCAAACAGACTAATGAACTTCAGAGGAAGGAGCAAACCGCTCGAAAGAGACTAGAGAATTGCAGAAGAAGGAGCAAACCACTCGAAAGAGACAGAGAGTTTCAGAACAAGGAGCAAACCGCTCGAGAAAGACCAGGAAATTTCAGAAGAAGGAGCAAACCGCTCGAAAGATGCCAGAGAATTTCAGAAGGAGGAACAAACCGCTCGAAAGAGACTAGAGAATTTCAGAAGAAGCTTGAGAAGAAGGAGCAAACCGCTCGAAAGAGACTAGAGATTTTCAGTAGAAGGAGCAAACCGCTCGACAGAGACTAGAGAATTTCAGAAGAAGGAGCAAACCGCTCGAAAAAGACTGTGGGGTGGTTGGAGGTTGAGGAAGAGTTTTGCAACAATCTCAAGTCCTAAGCTTGCACTCCTCAGCCCTCAAAACCTCAAGCCCTAACCGAGGCCTGCGACTGAACCCCTCAACCCTCACGACTGCTCTCAGCCTTGTAGCAACCACCCATCCACCACCAAGCAATGAAGCCGGCGACGACGCCAATGGCCAGCAACCTGATATATAGGCAAGTACCCATCCGGGGTACGGGCAGGGGGAGACGTGAGGAGTGCTTCGGTTCGCCCCTTGCAGCCATTTCTAGCTTCCACCCCTCCAGCCGCTTGATTTAGGATGTAGGGCCTTGTAGATCGAAAACAAAAAAATGTCTATATCTGCATACATCGGGGCCCGTATCCAAGTCAGTCTGACGCTGACTGGTCTTGGGAGCCTCAACGATGCTCCCACTGCAGGGGCCTTAATGGGTTTTGGGGTATATTGTAATGTAGTCACAATAAGAAACCCTAAGAAATTGTTCGAGTAATCATTTAGTTTGGGCTTCAGAACTACTTAGGCCACCAGGCACTCTATTGGCACTTGTCACTGCTTCGGGTCCACGCTAGCCGAAACCCAAACAAAACTTCAAACCCTGAAACCCATTGAACCCCCAACCCCGAAACCCAATAAACTTCCAACCCTTCGACCCCTTGAACCCCGAACCCCTAAACCCTACCCGAAACCCAACAAAAACTTCAAACCCTTAGACCCTTTGAACCCCCAATCCCTAAACCCTACCCGAAACCGAAAAAACGTCCAACCCTTCGACCCCTTGAACCCGCGAACCCTTGAACCCCCGCTGCCGGGCCAGGGGGCGTGACGACGATGCCCCCGGCGATGCTGGCGCCGTAGAGTAGGGAGATGGCAAGCACGACACCTCCAGCTTTTAGGGCTTCTAGAAGCTCCTGCAGGGGTCCAGCATGTAGGGCTTATGGTTCAAAGCTTAGGTTTTAGGCAGGTGATATGAAGATTCAGCTTGGTAAAGACCGCCAGGTGGCTTCTGAAGAGAGTAAAGGGTTCGTGGGTTTTAGGGCTTGCGTGCTCCTAGATCATCAACATCATCGTCGTCACTTCGATTTCCTGCTTGAAAACAGCCATCAGCGCCTGCCACCATCACCTCACATGACCATCATCAGCAGCATCATAGTCAGTTTCACCCATATGATAAGCTCATTCATGCCCGCACCACGAGCAGCAGAGGCATCTTCTTCGTGTTGAGCAACGCAACCACCCGCAACGCCATCATCATTGTCATCACAATCATCGTCGTCATCATCATCGTCCTCATCATCATCCACCATCGTTGCCATCATTATCGTGATCAACAATAACGACGATGTCAGCCTCATGACCATCACAATCTGCACTGCCATGTTCATCGTCAGCATCCTTCTCATCACCGCCACCATCATCACCAAGCGGTGGTTCATTTCCGTCATGCTACCCACCAGCTGAGACAGCAAGCCTTTTCACCCGATCACTACACGCACATTCGAGCCGCGCAACGAACAGAATCAGAACCCTGAAACTCTAAACTCTAGTTCCTTAAGAATCAAGCCCTCAACCCCCAAACCTAAATCCCCTGAAGCCCTAACATATGAAAGCATTATAACAAACATGAACATGAACCCCAAAGCAGACAAGGCGACAAAATCCTCGGAGCTGCCGGACCCGGCCTGGAACGGCCACGAACATCACCAGGATGTAGATGAGGGGCACCAGACGCCTTTGTCTTGGGTGGACTCATCGGGCTCTTAGAGCTCTTAGAGTTGGGGGTTTTCAGCTCTATAGCGGTTTGAAGAAGTGTTTAGGGTTCGACACGAGGTCATGATGGGCTTAAAACTTGCTTCACGGAGTCTGCCTGTGCCAAGCGTTTACGGTTCAAGCTTTTGGTGGTCAGAGGCAGAGTTTGCGGCATAGGGAAGCAACGACTTTCGAAAAACCTTGATAGACGGACCAGAATGTGAGTTTAGGGTTTAGGGTTAGGAACGATCCCCCAGCCTACAACCAAAGAGAGTCGGCAACTTGCAATCCGAAACTGCAGACCCGGCAGAAACCCCTTCTGACCCCTCAAGAAGGAGGACCCGGTGATGCCCAGGTGCCAGTAGGAGGCATAGAATCCCAGCAAGCAGGCAGCCTTGATGGGAATTCGTCGCATGAAAGGCACCGGAAACCAGATCCTGCGCTCTTTCTACAATGGCTTTAGAGGCTTATAGGGTGTTCTTAGCGTTTCTGTATGTGTGTCTACGTATTTGGAATAATGTATCCACGTCTTCATCGGTCTTACAGAACTTATGAAAAAGACTACACCCTAAACCCTAAACCCTATACATTGAAAAGCTTCTCTCAAGTCGAACCCAGAAGCAAGATGCCGATGATGTTGAAGAACAAGTGCCTCGCGAGCGTCCGGTTCAGTCGGGCAGGGCGTGAGTTTCGATTGTATAACCCCCCCCCCATCCTACCCCAACAAGCAATGCTTACCAACAGCCCACAAACCTCCCAGAAGCCTTTTTTGGCCTCCCAAGACACTCCAAAAGAATGAGTCCAATCGAAAATCATTCACAACGCTGTTTAAGTGCCCCTACAAACCCTAGCAAGATGCACGAAGGCGATCTGCAGGCTGTCAGGCTTCATCCTCGGTTCATCAGGGTCTGGGCGTTTAGGGTCTGCACCAAGGAGCAGATGCACCCCAATAAGAACCCAAATAACCCCTCTCTGTTCGCCCCGACGTCCCTTAAAGAAGCCCAGCATCACTGCGAGGGCTGCCAACATAGATGTGAAAGTGGTGCTTACCAAGGAAAATGAACGGTTTAGGGTTTGAGGCCAGGGGGTAGGGTTAGAGTTTAGGGTCAGGGTTCAGGGTCTGGGGTTCAGGGTTTGGGGCTTCAGTTGTTCACTCGAGGGGTTAGGCTTCGAGTTCAGAGTTCAGGGATCGGGGTTTATGGCTTGGGGCTTATGGTTCCTACAGTTTCTTATATGACATGGTTTGATTAATTATTGATTATCTGTGCTGCTGGCTAAACTGTCTGTAAAGCCCACAGAACCACTCAAAAACGCTTCTATTCGACTGTACATCTAACTAGGTCAGATCTAGGACACAGTTGTGTAAATACAGTCACCAGCCGAAGGACCTACACTGTCACACTCATCTTGCTTTACTTGCTGGTAGGCCCTAAGTGTCTTTCCAGTCTTTGCAGGTGCGTGT